CACAAAGAGTCAGAAGAATTCCTTCAACTTGCAATGACTTCACTCGTTTCTTTAGAAATAAAAACATTTTTAATTAGAGAAAAAAATTATTCACAACCATCCACATCCTACAGGAGCTTTAATAACTGCTGATATTTATAATCTTTCACTTTTCTAAAGCCCCATTCCTTAAAGACTGCTCAAAGTTGTTTCGCTATTAATTAATCCTAAAATTTACATACATCATTTTATCTTTATTATTAAAAGACTATGTAGCAGCCGTCTTACCTAATTATGGGACGATTTTTAACCTCAACAGTAGCTGAGCACATGTAGAAGCACGGTTTATTTGAAGATTTTCATTGAGGATTTAGAGTGCATCGCAGTGTAGCGCTAAGTTACAAACCATCTTCTTATGGCCTCTGGTGATGGACTCACCTTTGTGTTTATCCTGCTAGATAAACAGGGCACTGCAGTGGTTTGAATCGTATCTTACACATTACATTGTGTTCATGTAAACAGGGAGTCTTCTTCATATGTAAAAGGTTGTCATGGAGTTCCACAGGGTTCTGTGCTAGGACGAGTATTTTTTACAGTATACATGCTACATTTAGGCAATATTATTAGAACCAGAAGCAGATGACATAAGTAAAACAATTAAACTACAAAAATATATACAAAGACCCTTTTTGCATATAAGTATATGGCCAGCAGGCACCAGTATATGTATATGAAGACCGTGATGGATCTTGGAGACTTTTTACCAGGATATACAAACATATATTGTATTTTCCACACTATAAGGCGCACTTAAAATCCTTGAATTTTTCTCAAAAATTAACAGTGTGCCTTATAATCCGGTGTGCATTATGTATGAATTCTTGTTGTGCTTATTTACTTTGAACTGATTTTATGTGGTACATATATATAAATCAGTCAAAAAATGCTTTAGTATGACTTTGGTAAGCTCAGAAGCCGCGCCGCTTGATGGCTTGGAGCATTACGGCTGCTGTAGTCAGGAGCCTCGCGGAGTAATCTGGGTCTAAAACTCCGTTACTTCATATCGCAAAGTCAAACGAACACTGCGACATCACTGAGAGTTAAAAACTATCTAAATTCTTTCATCTTCAATAAAATGATCAGCGTTGCTGCTTTACCAGGTGTAACAATTAAGTTTAACATCCAGGCATCCATGAAAACAGAATTTATTACATTTAACGGAGTTAGAAGTTAGCAGGAAGTTAGCTCGCTAGCTTCCACCTAAACATGATATAGCATGTTCTGACTGAGAGATTTCTGAAAGAATTCAAACGTACAGCTCTGCTATAAACAGCAATGACGATTGTAGGGTTACTGAAGTTTGGCTAGCTGCTATATAATGATGTGCTACATGGTGGCTAGCTACACAGCTATGTTAGCATAAACAGTGAAGCTGGAGGATGAACGCTAACACTTTTCCACTCGATAAAAGTTAACGTGAGGGTTCCCGATGGTTAGAGACAAATACAGTCGCAAGGCAGGATGCTATAAACGGACCAAACTTCAGTCAGGAGAACAACTGAGATAATCCATCCACAATACGAGGTTAGTCACTGCAACAACATGGGAATAGAGCAGCTGCCAGAGAATTCAGCATTAATGAATCGATGGTACGGATGTGGAGGAAGCAAGAACGAGTTCAGTTCAGTTGACTTATCTGTTTTGTTTCGCTTAGCGCCTTATGGTCCAAAAAAATACAGTATGTAGGTTTGCTTACTTAGAAAAAAACAGAATAATGTAAAATTGGATCTTACTAAAGCTTCTTACAGACTGCAGTGTGTAAACTTTCTTTGAACGTTGTGCCTGAAAAGTGTTCGGTCAGTGCAAACTGCAAAGATGTTTTTGGAGCTCATCTTTAAAGTAAAGTCAGGTGTGTCAGTCCTTTGATTGATACGTGTGCACACACAGACAGACAGGCTCCTGCTAATATGAGCAACCGAACTGCACATTAGAGTCACTGAACTAGCATTAATCAGCCCACCTGTGCTGGCACGCTGCACCTGTACAGTCTACTACGAACACTTAAATGATGCAACCACACTGGCATTAGGTAAAGAATTTATTATAAAATGTATTACACTATAAAGTGTCAGCAGTACTAAGAACATGGCATTCCAGGACATGCTAAGGATGTAACATAAATAGCAACAGAAAGATTTGTGCAATGCGGCGATTATTCTCCAAGGAGGAAAAGTCACCCGACAGTAAAACCGAGTCGGTCCCTCCTCGTCGACAGAAACATCTCAACCTCAGCAGAAGCTTCCAGGGAGAAGACAAACTCATCATAGTGATTCTCAGTTTTTACAAAACGATCCTCTGAAACACAGAAGAGTCTCTTCCCTTTCCAAACGCCACCTCTCAGCTCGTGTACTGTACAAGGCAGAAAGAGGAATGAACAAGTGTGTTTTAGGCACACAACATTGGCAATGATTATACACAACTCCGACAACAGCTTCAATAAAAAACAGAAAACTCAAATCGCGTTTCAGATCAGTTTGGGACATTTCCTTTCCTCGTGTTCCTGCGCACATGTTGGCGTCTTTGATTCATTTTTATTGTCACTATATGTTTAGGAAAGATGTGCAGTACATTCATTTTTGCCTCAGCAAAAAACAAACAGCTTAACAAAAAGCTTTGAGTATTTACATCACAGCTAACAGTTTGCTGTGTTGATTGGCGAGAAGAAAGTTTAAATCTGTGAACAGATGGTAACACTGGAGGAAGAGAAGCTGACAGCAAATACTGCACTCTGGCACGGAGCTCGTCTTTACACAGCGCGTCCTGAAAAAGTCCTTTACATCCGTCAAATGTAACTTCAGGAGTGAAACCGTCCGACGCACACGTGCGCTGAAAAACAAGCTGTTTTCTTCTTCAGGTTCAGAGTGAGGGGCACAAACGTTACAAAACACCAGCTCGCACAAAGTGAAAATGCTTTTCTCTGACATTTCTGTCATCAGCAGCCTTTGGCCTTTTTCAGCTAACAATACTAACATCACGCCGCCGCTTCCCTGTGCTTGTGCTGACCGCGGCCAGGCTGCGGCTTCATGCTTCACAAAGACAAACTGAAAGAAGGCATGAAGCCACGCGCGGCCCGCCGACAACGAAGCTCAAATTTAGCTTGACAGAGGTGGCGTGGATGCCACTGTGCAAAACTCTGACCGCGGACGGCAGCTTGATTAATGACGCCCCTGCGCCGGCGATAACGCTTTAAAAACCTGATGAGGAGGCATCGAAGAGGCGCGGCGTCAGCGTCTACTGTAACCGGCTGCTCGTTTAAGAGAAGTACAAAAGTACAGAAACCAACCCAATTATAAAAAAAAAAAAATCACCTTTCTGATTAGAATTTAGCGTTTTAGTGAAACTTTCTATTCAAAGTACTCAGCGTGAGGGCGTCCTCAGCCCACCCTGTGATGGGTTAAACATTTGCTTTGCAGCTTGTTACACTTTAGAAAGGTCAACATCACCCAATACGACACAGTCCTTTAGAAAACCCTCCTTTTCCTGTAAAAATGGCTACGCTTCCCTTTGTGTGAATGAAAGATGATGTTTACAGAAACACTGATGTTTACAGGTCCCAAAGTTTCCCTGGAGTTTTCAGGAAAAGGAAGAAAAGGAATCGCAGATATTAAAATGCGAGTACAAAGCAGAACGTTTTGGCTCCGGGGTGTCTCCATGACACCACAGAGACAGGATATACCTAATATCTTAGGCACTGAAGCCCCGCCCACCTGCTATTCTGACCTACTTTTAGAGAGGGGCAGCCAATCCGAGGAAGGCTAGCTTAAAGAGAAAGGGGCAAAACCAGCTTGTTTCAGGCCGAGCGGCTGCACTAAGGCCCAGCAACAGATAAATGCGCATTAGTTTGCACTGTGGATCATGCAAAGCTGCTCTAATACACCAGACTGCTGTTACCAAGTAAGCTGCTCTGGATTGGCAAAAAAAAGTTCTCTTGAATATGCAAATGACATTTACATTGACATGGTTTGATATGATGTGCACTCATAAATCTGTTTATCTGATACAAGTCGATGCTTAACTTGAGCACAATTCTGAAGCTCCGGGGAGATCACAGCTGCACACGTGCCAGAGGTCTGAACAGCGATCTGAAAACAGCAGCTGTGATGGTGAAGGTGAGGTTTGACTTAGACTGTCTGAGTCCAGCAGACTTTAAAGTCCAACTGGAGACCAAAACTGTAATAAGACAGAGTTTATTCAAAGACCTTCACGGGAAGTTCTGGGACCTGTAAAGGTTTCAGCTGTTGGATGGAAGAATACAGAAATCTGAACTGAGGATTAGCAGGAACATCAACAAACACACCAATCAAACATGAAGGAAACGGTTCCACCCACTGCTGACACGTGTTGTCTCCACACATCTGTGTGCGTTTGCTTTTGTGAAAAGTGAAACAGCACGAGACCAGGTCTCCTTTATTTTTATACAACATGGTCTTCCTCGTGTTAGTGACAGCCGCCAGATAAATAGACGTGTTAGAAACTCATTTTACTTTTATATCAACAAGGCACAGTTCTCCAAACATCTGGAAAAGACTTCTGCTTTGTACCAATGAGACTGGCTGTGCTCTTCAGGGAGGTAGAAGGCCACCAAGGCACTCTGAAAGAAATGCTGTAAATGTATTAAACGCTAAGCTGAACGACCAAATTTCACATCAGTAAACCAGACGCGAGGAGGGAGCTGATATTAGATGTAAGCGATGGATGGAGCGAGCAACACGACACACACTCAGCCCTCGGGTTCGAGCCACACATGCAGCTGCCATGTTTCTGACCACACGTGGAGATTAGAAAATGGCGCTGTTCCTTGGAGTGAGACTGGAGTGTGCGTGACAGCAGGAGGGACGTTAGGAAGCAGCAAACAACTAGATAGAAAGAGAAGAAAAACACAGAATTCCTCTTTGGAGCTCGGAGCGTTCGGTTCTTTCACGACATTCGTAGCGGGAGGAAAGCTCGGCTGTACAGGTGTGGAGAGCACAAACACAACATCTGGTTTGCACGGCAACAAAACGGAGCGATTAAAGTGTGAGCAGCTGGACCGGAAAGATTGCACGAGTCCGTCGTGTCAGAGCGACCTCCTGACGTCTGGCGGGGACAGCGAGCCCTCAGCGGGAAATGACGGAGCTGATGGAGTTGTACGATGTGCCGCCGTTGCAGGTTGGCGGGTAGCCGTTGGCGGCTCCTCCCAGCGCCTCCGTGTTAACCTTAAACACGGGCGACGCTTTGAGCAGGAAGTCCGCGGCGTCGCGCCGGCCGAGCTCCCTCAGCTTCGCCATCAGTACGCCGACCCTGCTGCCCGCTCGCCCGCTCCACTCCTGCAGCAGAGCCGCCGTCGGGCTGGGCTGCAGCGCGGCCTGCTGGGAGTCCGAGTCCAAGTCCAGCTCAGAGGTGCCGTTTGGAGTCCCGTTGCTGTATTTGGCCACCAATTCAGTGAGGCCCAGGTTCATGGCCAGCAGGCACCAGTCTTTCCCCATGGCGTCTGGAGGGTCCAGCATGCGGCACAGCTTCCGGCGAGCCAGCAGCGGCACGTCCGATATGTGGACGTCCGTTCCCAGAATCCCCCACTGGTAAATTTCAGCGCAGCCGAACGCCAGGATGCTGCTGAAGCTCTCCCGATAGCCGCCCATGGTGTTGGTGAGCGAGGTCTCGCGCTGGACTTGAGCCCGGAAGAAGTCTTTGGGTTGGTAGACCATGATGGGGGCGTGGTGTTCCCGCAGCTGCTGAGGGCTCAGGTAGTATTTGGCGGTGAGCTGTCCGGGCAGCGTGGAGGCCAGCAGGTTCTCTGTTATACTGCAGAGGGTGTCCAGCAGGGTGTAGCACTTGGCCCGCTCAGAATCATGTCCACGGACCTGAATCTCCACACCCTGCCCGTGGTTGACCAGGAGGATCATGGCCTCCACTCCTGCCTGGCTCACTTTGGCGCCGTTGGTCCACAGGTGAATATCTCCATCGTTGTCGTCGGCGCCGTCCTCCTCGGGCTTCTGCTGGTGGCTCCAGCGACACAGGTTCACCTGCAGCTTGTGGAAGAGGCCGCAAGGGAAGGGAGTGAGGTGCTCGGCCGGGACGATTCGGACGCCTCCGTAGAGCAGCGACTCCTCCTCCTCCTCTTCGGTCCAGGACCGGTGGAGGCCGTTTGTCTTGATGAGTGCGGGAACATCCACCATGGTGGGGTTGGTGACGTCCCGGGCGCAGACGTCCATGGCATCCAGGATCTGCAGCAGCTCGTCCACGTCGCTCTCAGGCGCCAGGGCCTGCACCTCCTCCAGCCTGTAGCGCCCCCTGTAGTGGTGGATGGCTTTGGGCGTCTCCACGGAGAGCAGCTTGCCGAGGATGCTGCTGCAGAGCCATCGAGGCTCCAGCAGGACGACGTCCTGCACAGTCTCACTCTGCATGATGTTGATCTGTGGAGGAGACGAGGGAGAAATGTGAGCGCGTGGACGTTTATCAGAAAAATTTATGTCATGAGACAAAGACAGAATACAGAAAGAAGCTAATAAATATTTAAGGAACAACATTAAATGGAACTTTTGCTTTATCTGTGAAAAACATGCAAATAAATAAATAAATAAAGTTTTGGTTCCTCATTCAGCTTCCTGAGCAGAGGCACACAAACAGAACACAGTGTTCCTGCTGCTGTCCTCACAGATGAAAACCATCTGGTTTGGTTTATTCAGGAGCCTGCAGTGCCCCCTGCTGGCACTCAGGAGTAAAACACCGACTCCTTTTGCCTGCTCCTGGTCAAACACTCACCTCTCCCATGCTGTGGAGCTGCAGGGCCAGCGTGCGCAGGTGATCCTGGCTCACCAGCGGGTTGATGTGCTCCTGCACGTCACTGACAAACTGCTGCCACGACATCAGCTGGTTGGGTCCGCTGAGCTTCCTCCAGGTCGGCAGAACGGCCAGCAGACGCTCCGACAGCAGCGTCATCGGACTGCACCTCTGCAGAGACGGAGAAGGAAGCGGCGACAATAAACGACCACGCTACGTTTGTTCAGGTATGAGGACATTTAGAAACAAGAGGACACGGGGAGTGAGAGTCTGCAGAGCTCACGGAGACGACGCTGGCTCGAAGCTCCTGCAGGTGACTCCTCAGCAGCTTCATGTCTTTAGAGTTTGAGGCTCCAGCGTCCATCACAAACAGTTTGTCACTGATCTGCAGGTCGTTCCCAAACCTGGACCGAAAACCAAAAACACCAAACTTTGTAACAAATCACTGAAATCTGTGTGATTAATACGTCTAATTTATTCTCTGCAGGGATTCTTTGAGGTCGCATCGACTGTCTTGACAAAAAGCCGCTCGCTTTTTTACTCATCAACATAATCTCCACTGACTGACGGCACTTTAACTTTTTCAAACATAAACATCAAAGCAACATTAAAAGATTCTCAAGCTCTCCTCACTCTAGATCTGGTTTTACAAAACATTAGCTCTGCTGTGTTAGCAGTGAAACTGCTGAATTTGCTATCTGCTGTCTGATCAGTAAGGCTGAGACATACGCTCGCTGTGACCTGATCATGTGACTGACGTGATTTAAGCTGGCACCGCTCGGTGCAGTATGGAGAGGAGGTGCTCTTCACCTGTTCCTGACTTCCTTGAGCAGCGCCCTCTCTTTGTCGTAGCTGAACTCTCCGGAGAACGCTCTGGGAACGTCGGCGAGGTCGGCGTGCGTCGCCACCAGGACGACCGCGAGAGGCTGCTGGATCCGACCACCGAAAGCTGAAGAAAAGTTAAGATTGTGAACCGTCACAGTAGACAGCTTATCATGATGAGGTTGTGTAACTGTCTGGCTGCTGCAACAGCAAATGTAGTTCCCACAGCCTCGCACGAAACTGTTTAAATGAAGCTTCAAAAAGGCCAAACTCGTGGCGAAGTATCAGTGAAAACTCATATTTTTCTCCAATTACTCAGGAAACAAAGACTTTCAAACCTGCCGACTCTCTATCGTTGCAGCTTCTACTTCCTGTCTGCAGATCTGCTCCTAACCTCAAACATATCGATGTTTTTAAGAAAAATATTAAAGTCGACCATCCACCGACCGCACGAAGGCAGTAGATGGTTGGTCTGCTTACAGATGCTTTCCTGCGGCAGGGTGAGGGCCTTCAGCAGGTTCAGCCAGTAGGTGATGTGGCCCAGCTGGGTCTCGTACGGCTCCTCCAGGCTGAACAGGACCACGTGGATCGCTGTGACATCGTTGGCCGCAAAATAATCGTAGGTGCAGTAGTAGACCGGGTTTCCAGAAAACTCCCACACGCTGAAATCTCCCACGCCTACAGAGAGGGAGCCGAGTGAGCTTTGCTTGAATTTCACACACAGGTTTAACCGCGGGGATCCTCGCGGCTCTCACCGTGGATGTTGGCGTGCTGGATGTCGATGGCCTTGGTGGCCTGTTCGTCAGCCGCAGACAGAGCGCTGTGCACGGGGGAGAAGACCTCCAGCACGCCTTTGGTCAGGCTGGGCTCAAACATCATGCTGCGACTCCTCACGCTCACGTTCTCACAGCCGGGGTACAGGTTGGAAATGCTCACCGACACTGAACACAGACATGGAGGAGAAACCATGACAACCACCGGGACTACTTTCAGTTAATGCAGAATTTTTACTGATTTTTATTTAGCAGGGACACACAGGAGAAGCAGAGAACCTGCAGCACTATATTGCTGTTAGATCAGGGAATAAATCCTGACTTTTGGCTCCACAGTTTGAGCGGTGATGGTGTTTAAAGACACAGCGGCTGGTTTCTGCTCTCAGAGGTTGTTGTTCTGATCTCTGCTGTACTTCAGCGCGCGATCGACTGTGACTAACGCTCAAAGTATTTCAGATTAAGTGCAGATATCTCTGTCTGCTGCAGCAAACACATCTGCATCATCTTTACCAAATAACCGCCGCTTGCAAACACAGGGGGGCGCCATTTCACTGCTAATGAATCCACTCTGCAGGGACAGTTTGGATTTTCGGGACCACACCTACAGCTTGTTTTTGAGGTCTTAATCACAGTAAAATGACATCCTGGTCTTTGGGTGATCACAGACATCAGTGTGACATCATCGCCGGTGTAAAGAGCTGGAGGAGAGAAGATGTTTGAGACGGACGAGTGAGCGTCTGCGCGGACAAATCGGGGAAAACGCCAGACGCACGATGGTTGTTCACAGCACAGCGAAGGACAAGTCAGAAACTCAGGCACATCTGGACACACATCCACAAAACAGATGTTTATTTCATCCGAATGTTTTCATTTCTGATGGGATTTTATACTTCAATAAAGAGATTGTAAAGTATTAGTGGCTGCAAATCTTTTAATTCCAGTCGTTGAGAGGCCAAAACCTTTGTTAGATGTGCATTTTGTGAAAAACCCGCGTGTGTGTGTGTGTGTGTGTGCGCGTGTGTGCGTGTGTGTGTCTCGTTTTCCTCTCTGCACTAACATAAAAGCTGCCTCCGCCGTTTCACAGTCGGCTGTCACGGCTTCAGTTTGAACATGCAAGCGTCTGCTCGGCACTGCAGACGACGATGATGAAGACTTTATCCTCCACCAACTGGCAACTGCAGAAAACAATGAACCCATCTCATCTTCTCTCATCCTAAACGTGAGGAAAATGTTCTCACGTCCTGGTTTTTGTGATCGGTGTAAAATGAGTGAAATCCTTAAAGCCAACAGGTTCCGCTCATTTTCTCGACGTGGAGAGAAAAAGCTGTTTTCATGCCGTTTAACGTCGGGCGGTTCAGAGTTCAGTGAAGCGAAGCTGCTCATATCTTCTCTCGCTAACAGGCCTAAAAAGAGCGCTCCTTTTACCGAGGAGCACCTTTCACGACGAGGCCTCTCGTTAATGGAGCTCCGCGACATTTCAAAGTTCGCTACAAATAAGGAAATAAAAGAATATATCAGCGCACGCCGAGGCTGAAAGCCACAAAATCAATATGCAGCGTTCAGCGGTCTCGGGAGGCGACGCTAAAATATCGACACTTGTGTTTCTTTGTCTTTGGCTGGATTCACGTCACGTATCGCTGCAGAAACAACTAACGGTCGATACGGACCAGCGCTGACTCTTTGAGACGCCGGCAGGCTCACAGATGGAGGAGTCGGCTAACGCACCTGACCGTTATCAGCCCGGGCGTCACGTAATGGCTGCAAGCGGCGCATAACAGAGCAGCTAAAGGGGAGAGGAGGGCAGGCAGGCAAGACACTGAACACGTCGTCACTGCACTTTCCTGAAAACCACGAACACCTCACAGACCTCAAGATACCCGAGCCTCAGAGCAGCACCTGAACGGTTTCCCTCAGCAGACAGTTGTTCCATTTGTGCTCATCTATCATTTACTCCAGAGGACATAACGAGGAGAACTGATCAGCTTTTATCAATTTCACCCTGTGAGATTCAAACTGCATCTCAGTACGAGACTGTGAGGGCTCATGTTCATGCTCACATCAGAGCAGCAACAACAGCTGCGTCTACAACGTGGATAAAACAAGACATTTAATAAAATGACTCACGCTGAAGTTTTCTGAGACAGATGTGCCTCCTCTGATTAACTGCACTCCTCACAAATAAACGAAGGAGTCTCTGTGTGTCTTTCTTTGCTTATCCCAACCAACATTCGCATGTGTAGCCGAAGGGTGATTGGAGGGGGTGGAGCCTTTCAGAGCTGTCACCAGGTGACACACACCTGTCTGTACCTGCACAAACTCAGGATCTTCTTGCTGTGAGGGGGCGGTGCTAACCGCTGCGGCAGTGAAAGCATTAATGCTGAGCTGGTGACGACGCGACTCCACCTGTCTGTCACCTACCGGGAGGTTTGGAGTTGACGGGCGAGTTGGGGTGCCGGGCCGCGTTGGTCATGCGCGTCCTCCTCCTCCTGAAGAAGCTGCGCAGGATGCCGCACTTCAGAGACTCCAGCAGCGTGCTCTTCCCGGCTCCCGAGTGTCCGAAGAGCTTGAGTTTGATCCGGGGCTGGACCGTCTGAGTGGGCCGCAGCTGCTGGATGTAGCTCAGCTTGTGGTTGTCCTGACCCAAAAACACACCACAGAAGAAGACATCGACAGCTCAGGTCACAGACACCTGTACACGACTCCCACAAGGCCCCAAAAATCACATGACACATTTCAACTAATCAGATTTTGTGCTGCTGCACATTATGTCAGCTTCAAACTGCAGAAAAGCTTATTTAAAAATACACATCAGCGTATTGTGTTGAAGAGATATCAGCTGATGTGGAACCAGAGCTGGGCTGTACTTTAGCTCAACGCCACAGGCAGCAGTGTCAGCTCCATCCAACAAATTCAGTTCATTCAGTGTTATTTACACAGCGCCAAATCACAACAAGAGTCGCCTCAAGGTGCTTTATATTGTAAGGTCGACCCTACAATAATACAGAGAAAACCCAACAATCATATGACCCCCTATGAGCAGCACTTTGGCGACAGTGGGAAGGAAAAACTCCCTTTGAACAGGAAGAAACCTCCGACAGAACCAGGCTCAGGGAGGGGCGGGGCCATCTGCTGTGATTGGTTGGGGAGAGAGAATCAAAATCACTAAATCGAGCTAAATGTCACCACTTAGCTCTGCGGTGACATCGCAGCTGCAGGTGAAACTCTGCCCCCTGGTGGTGACAGAGAAAAGTTTCATGCACAGGTTAGCTATCTCACAGCTGAGCAGGTGAACCATAAACTGAGGATGTGAGCTCCGCCTGCAGGCGTCTGTCTACCATTCATTGGACAGAGTGGTTAAAAACAACGCAGGAAGCTTAAATGCTTTTATTTTGGTGGATGAACAGGAGAGTTCCTGTGACTCAAACAAAACGTTCCATATCTTATGTGTCTATAAATACTTCAGTTATAAAACATTTAAATGTGACAGCATTGAAACGCCGTGGCTGTGAGCAGCGTTACAGGAGACGCTTTCTTCCAAACATCATCGATTCTTCGGGCTACGAGGACGGTTTTTAAAACTGCTCTTAATGTTTTTGTAAAAATGAAACAGTGACTCAGCCGCAGGAAACATTTACAACAAAAGCCAGCTGCTTGCTCACGCCGCCGTAGATCTGACAGCTCGATGGAGCCGTTTAAGACGTTTCTCTAACCATCCAATGAGTCACGCATCAGAAGTGGCCCCAAATGCTGCGAGCGGATACGTGGGATGTGAACGCGCTCCTAATCCCACCTGGGTTATGCTAACGTGTCAAAAAATAATTCATTTCCAATTTCAAAACGTGTGATTCACAGAATCCGGCTTTAAAACGAACGAGTTCTCGTTTCAAGCCGCCGGGTTTCTCCCCCTCTTGGTTCTCGACAAGTCGGCCTTTTCAAACGTGCCAAAGTGTCTGAGATTAGCCCAGCATGTGCAGACGGCGGCTGTTTTCACAGCTGCTGCTTCATGTTTTCACCGATTCTCAGCAGGTTTTCTAGAAAAAAAGAGACGTCGGCATCACGTAGCTTTAGACGAGGAGTCTGAGCGTGTCCTGGTAGCTGTGACCGGGAACACCGGACGCACACACGCCGCTGTGGAGGGTGAAGCTGATCGTCATGGAGATGAAAGGTTTGGCTTTCACCGAGTGTTCGTCCTTTCACGTGTCGAGCAAACTGCGCCCCAAAGTCTAAAAACGGCGGATCGCTAAAATCTAACACCTCCCGTCTTCCCGAGACGTCTCTCTCCACACCTCTGCACCGAAATAGACCAAGTGTGACGACTGTGAAGCCCGACTGTGCCTCATCACCCCCACCATCATCATCATCTGCACTTCCTAAACCGCGTTCACATCATCACATCATTTTTTTATAGCCTCATTCTTCAAACAAGCTCAGCTGACACAACTTGGTTGAACACATCAGTCCAACTCGAGCCTTTTGAGCCTTCTTCTTCCTCTTTACCTTTTTAAGCTTTCCCAGCAGTGACACGACGTGCTCGTGATGTTCGGCCGAAGCCAAATCCTCCGCCGTCTTTCCATCCTGCAGGAGGAAAACAAAAAAAGTCAGGTCTTTAGTAAACATCACATCTCCTCTGGCTCCACTGAGGACATTCGTTTTCTGGAGTTTTTATAATGAAAAAGGAGCTCGAGCACAAAAAAGAGCTTCCTGTTAACCAGTTCAGCAGACGCTGCTTTTACTTTAACTGAGTGTTTCCCCCAAACTTACATCACGTGTTCAACCAGTTTAGATCAGAACCAGCAGATTAGATACACAAATCATTTATATTTGTATATTTATTTACTTGTTCATCATAACAGGAAATTCAGCAGATATTTTGTTTTGATCGACGCTGACGTCTGCTGTTAGTGATTTATTAGTCAGCTGTTTCCTACATTCACGTAAATCAGATCGATGCGCCTGAAGTGACCTTTGTTTGTTATGACAGTTATTCCTCATCACGCAGCGTCGTCTCTCAGCTGATGTCAGTGGATTAATTACAGCTGCACACGCACACACACACACACACACGCACACACACACACACACACGCACGCACACGCACGCACGCACGCACGCACACACGCACACACACGTTACTTTCCCTCTCTGCTCCAGCGCTCCGACACAAACGCCACATTCCTGACAGCGTTCATGTATCTGTCACTGTCCGGCTTGGCTGACGCTCCGCTGGGAAAACCTGCACGGACGCCTGAAACGCCCACAGAGCGCCGCCGCCTCCTCCCAAACAGCTCGTCGTGACGATCGGACTTCGACATCGTCGACCTCCCGAGCCGACTGGATTGGGCAAATGAAGTCTGAGCATTTAGATGCGTGGACGCTCTCGCGGTGCTCGCCTCACACAGATGGCTGAGTGTCACGATTATTACTACTGATGCCTGGCAGTGACAGATGAACGGCTGGCGTTATGTGAGGAATATTAGATCATCCACAGTATTTCCAGCCCAGACTAAATATCTGCTGAAACGGAAGCTCGGGAACGACGAGTAACGGTGAAATCGCAGAGGCTGGAATGATTTGGAAGAAAAACCAGGCAGAGATCACAGAGGCACCGTGGAAGGTTGTCCTCCCTGACACTGAATTATACATCCCAGTGTGCGCTCCAGATGAAACATGCACAGCACATCAGCTGCCATACAATATTAACATCCCGGGAAGGCAGAGAGGGAAAAAGCTCAGCGCGGATCGTCTGCTGCTGGAACCAGATCAATTCAATGGAATGAAAGAAAGAACATAATGCACCAGGATCGAGCAGAATTAGATTTGAGGCTCTGAGATGAGTTTCAATGACGGACAAAAACACGTTACTTCTGATATCGGCGGAGAACGCTGGAAACATCTGGAAATCATATCTGAACAGGCTGAAAACATCTGCACAATAACAACTGAGGTCATGTTGTGAGCTCTGGCAGGAGAAGCAGGGAGGCGCCCGTGATGGAGGCTGACGCGCCGACCCTGACGTGCTGAAGGTCTCTTTCGGTCTTTGGCTGCTTCTTCGCTCACTGTGAGTCCAGTTCTTGTACCGAACATTTGACACGAGTGTTTTTGTTTGTTAGAGACTTCAAACGATCAACATTAACATTCACATAAATGAAATTTTAGCTCGTGACATAACTCTTTCAATTACGTTTGATTTATAAAATCACGATAACAGTTCTTCATAAAACCACTTGGATCCTGGACGCGGCTCGGATGAAGTCATCTCCTGGCCTTCGGCGTGGAGAAGCATCAGCTCAGAGCGCTGAGCTTTGAACGAGAAATAAAAATCCTTTTGGATCTAAAACGATTGGACATGAACTCCCACTTATCCGTAAAGTCAAACCCACTCAGGGCTGAATGTGGAACCGTTTGATCCCGAGCGCTTGGATGAAAGCTCTCAGCCCGCGGCTGCTGAAGCCTTTAACGCCTCACCTGCCGCAGACTCGGCACAAACGTCTCTGTGCAGTCACCAAATCCACGCTTGGATTCACTCGTCTTAAATAATAAGCCGTTTCTCCTGCTCGCTTTCTTCTGCCTTGTGCAGCAAACACAGTGACAAACAGGAGTCTTGCTGCACAATCTCCTGAACAAAGCTAAGCGCTCGTAACGACCCCACAGACGTAAACTACAGGAAACGTCTTTGAAAATTTAACATTCTTGAAGTTGTGCTCACAGTTTTTTACTTCTTGGACTTTCAAAGAGAAATTTTAAAGCCCCCAAACATGTTAATAACTAATGTTTAAAATCCTCAGCAGACTTTTCATTTGATTTAATGGTGCAGCTCTCAAACTGCCAGCTGGGATTTAAATATTCTAATAAGAGTTTAAGAGCTCAAAGCGAGAGACTGTGAGGGAAGTGGATGGGACACTGCAAGGAAGCTCATCAGGGTTCAAGAGGTCGAAAGAACTTCAGTAACATGAAGAAAGAAGAAACAAGGAGAAGGTTTCGCCTTGAAAACCTCTGAGAGGATGAGATTATTAAAAAACAAACAGGTGGTGCAGCTGAGCCGGGCGGAGACGAGGGCGGAGGTAAGGGAACGATGCCAGAAGAATTTCCCAGTTTTACTGAGGATTCATGAGCGGCGCCTTCGTCTGCAGCCCCAGCAGAAAATGAACAATCGCCACGCAAACAATATCTGAACAAGCACGGGAGCGACGTTTCAATTTACATACTATATGAGGCGTGTCGGCGTGGACCACGCCCCCACCATACTCGAGTCACAGATCGCAGCAGCTTCACGTGTGAACACGTCCTACAGACCAAAGGGCTGCACTGGGTTTGTCAGTCTCATCACGATGATGACGAGGTGCTGCTGCACCCGCCCGAGCGGTAAAACAGAGAGGTGCCTTACGTTGGTGACAGCGTCGATGTTCGCTCCGGCCAGGCAGAGATGGCGGACGACCTCGAGGCTCCCGTTGTTCGCCGCCAGGTGGAGCGGAGTTCTGCCGGACTGTGACGCACAGAGGAGAGAGGAAGCAGCACACGTCAGTGCCGGACACGGTGAAAGTCACGCACACAATCATTCATGTTCGCTTTGACACTTACAGGTTATTCTTAATAACTGAGGCTGCTGAGCAGAAATGCTCGAATAAGGATTCCTGAAAACGCCAAAACCTTCTGAGCGTGCTCAGTTTAAATGTTGAGGCAGAAGCTTTTTAAGAAGCTCACATTCAGTTTTTTTCAATAAATCAATAAATAATCTCTGCGTGATGTCATACAGAGCAGATATCTGATGGTTTTCTCAGGTACACATCTCTCTATGAGAAGCCCCACCCACTTCCTGTTAATGAGGAGCAGCCAATCAGAAGAAAGCTGGCAAAAATAAAACGTTCTCTTTAAGCTGCCGTCACTGTAACACAAATGTGGAGGAAAAAGAGTGACACAAACACTGAAATCAACATTTATCACATTTTCTAAACAAACACTGAACGGCGTCCCCCTCTTGCCTCGCGCTAACTCGGCCTAATTAAGCGCACGGTCGTGCTTCGGCGGGCTGATCGGCTGCTCGCTGTTCCCGCTGCGGTCGCTCGGCCTGAAGAATAAAACTGCTGATTAGAGCAGGAACACAGTGCCCTGAAAACAACGCTAATTACTGTAAACACCATATAATTGCCATCAATTTCATACCACAATATCTCATAAATCCAGAGCAGTTCGATGTTGATGTTACAGTAAAAGCTTTGGGATTTAATCAGAGCTCAGTGACGGAGGCGTTTCAATCCATTCTCCTTTGCAGCAGTTTGGAAGAACATCCACCCTGTTTTTGTGATGCTGCAAACTGAGCTGGAGACGGTTTCAATCCCACCCTCTTATTTCTCTGCTCGGTGTCTGCAGCTGACAGCAAAGACCGACCCAGAGTCAGCAGCCTGTGATTCGCTGCTTCACACGAGCTTAAAAGAAACGAGCTCCAGCTGAGAATAATGCATGAACCACGACGTCTCTGGCAGCGCCGTCTGCTCCCGATGCACATCGCCTCCCTGTGCGACGCTGAAAACACGTTTCTGCAGAAAAAGCCGAGAAAAGCTTCCCCGTCGCAGAATCTATTTAAATGTATGGTGTCAAAATAGAAAGTAGAATCAGAAACATGCGGGAGGCGAGAGGACGGGAGCTTCAGAGGTGTGTGAGGAGGGCAGGAGATATCAGAAGAAAGACGATTTTAAAATATGTCAGCAGAAAACAGCCCATACCTCTGTAAACATTACACTGCGTTATATTCTACTTCCTGTGTTTTTATCAATGCTCCACCTGCGATTAGACCTCATTTAGCTCAGCTGCAAAACAACGATCTAAAACACTCATTTAAACTAGTCTTATTTTTCTTCAGCTACATTTGCTCTCAGGTCAAACTATTCTAACTCCTTTACCTATGAGAGAGTTTCCTCTCATTGGCCGTTCCTCACAAACCAAACAGCAGGTGGGCGGAGCTCTGTGCTCACACAAGTGAGGCGACCATATTAGTCTGTGAGAGCAGGGATTACTGGCACAGACACCTCATCATCTGAAACTGTGGTCAATGTGGAGCAGGTCTGACTCACAGCTGAGCTGATGGGGTTCGATTTAAAGGAGTCTTCTTCGTGAGGAAGATTACTTCATGGATCTCACTTCCTGCAGAGCGTCAAGCTGAGTGTGGTTCGGTTAGCTGTCGTTTACTTCTGCTCTTCTTGTGCTTCTAAGACTCCTGTGACAGTAATGCAAAACGCTCTGCAGCCCATCTGCAGCACGATCCGCAGGGTGAAGGCTGCAGCTCCGAGGCTGCTAGCTCAATCACTCAGGTTGGTCACGCAGAGCGTGTTTTATAAGACAGAGACACGTTCGGCCTGACTCATCAAGGTGCTGTAACACATCACATAACACCGGCATCGCTGAGCTGGCGCTGAAGTAGATGTGCTTGAAGATTATGTAAGAGGAGAGTAAAAACAGAAAGCGTATTCATGTTAACGGCATCGGGACGAAAAATAAAAACCCCACACATTAACGTCAGTGTCTGAATGTGAGGGAGGGGGCGGAGCGCAGAGTTAGGAGGAGGTCCTTCACCTCCACCTTCACTCTCAGGAGGACAGCTGTGTCTGAAAACTATGTGATACCACCAGTCCTCTCAGCGCGGCCTGGGAACGCCTCAGGGAGCGTATCCGGGCCGTCTGGGGGGAAGTGCTTGCACTCACCTTGTTGGGGAGGTCGAGGATGGCCTTAGCATTGCAGATCGCCATGACGACGGGCAGGTTTCCATCCTTGCAGGCGATGTGGAGCGGCGTGTTTCCGTGGCGGTCCTGCTGATCCACTTGGCAGCGGTGTCTGAGGAGGCAGCGGACCACCTCCACCTGACAGCGACGCACAGCCAGGTGGAGAGCTGTGTGGCCTTCCTGGAGACACAAACACAGACGGGTCAGTGTCTGTGACCTGCACAGGTGGTGAGACCTGTGTGCTGTGAGACCTGTTAGTCAACCCTCGCACAAAAACACGTAAAAGTAAAATGTGCCAAAATAAATCAGGCTGAGCTCTGGTCACCTTGTCGGTGGTTTCCAGCTCGGCTCCGTGCTCCACCAGGCACTCCACGATGTCCACGAAGCCGCGGGCAGAGGCCGTCAGCAGCGGGCTCTCCCCCTCGCGGTTCTTGGCATCCACGTGGCAGCCTGCCTGGCACAGAGCTCGGGCTACCGGAGAGTAGCCGTGCCAGGCAGCGCAGTGCAGCGGCGTCTCCTGCTCCTGCAGACAGAAACGTGGAACGCAAAGATAAAACCCCGCGGCCCTCGAACAACCCCTCGGTTCTTATTCCGATGCCGTCGCTGCACTCGCTCACCCTGTCCGTCAGGTCCGGGTTGGCTCGGATGCTGCACAGGTAGCTCACCACATCCACGTTGCCATAGCGAGCAGCCACGTGTAGCGCCGTCTCGCCGGACTGGAGGTGACCAACAGCCAATATGTTAATAACAAAGCAGCAGATTAAACTAGCAGTAAGCTAGAAACGATCAAATTGTGTCATAAAAGTCAAACAAAAGAACAAAAGAAGCGACTGTGTGTCTGTCACTCACACCCACCTGACTGACACACGTGACGTCTAACACGTCTGTGACACGTCGGACGGTTCAGATAAAAACGGTTCCTATGAAATCTCAGAGTAAAAGTATAAACGCAGTGACAGAGACGAAGCTTTGCTGGTGTCCGGAGGATTCCCTGCAGAACCTTCCTTTCAGCTTCGGGAAGTGAAATGTTTATTATTCCAGGCGCTGGTTGATTGCACGAGCTGCTAGACGGTGATGAGAGATGATTGACACGCGTGCAAATTTTCTCTTGCATGACAAAAACAATGTGTGAAAGACTGGAGGAGACGACACGCGGCACAGCCTCTGTTTCCATCTTCACCCGAGAGCAGCGAGCGAAAGAACAGGGCCGAGGATACAAGCAGCGGGAAAGAGCTTCCTCGGAGGGCGGTCCTCCATCACCCATCAGAGGAGCAGGTGGAGGTAGCAGGGGGCCTCTGTGATCCTGACACCATAAGTGGGAATGCTGTCTCCAGTTTAGATTCTGTAGTTTGGTCAAACATCCCAGATTTTCCGTATAGTAGCCAAAACCTCCAGTAGATGTTAACAGGGAGCAGCGGACTCACCTCCCTGCTTCTTGAAACACAACACAGAGCCAAATGTTTGCACTGCATGCACAGACCGTGCACAGACCGTGCATACCAAGCGTGGACGCTGTGGATGTTGACTCTGACTAGAACTCTGACTCCGCTTCTGTTTTCGTTAAAAACTGACCCACGAGTTTCAGACTTGGGGCTGGCAGTCAGCGTAAACGCTCGTTAGCGAGACGATGTGTTTACTTGTTTCTTAGAGACTGAGTCACTCTGGAAAAAAGGAAAAACCCTCAAAGAGCGGTTTAATTTGGCGAATTACATAAAAAGCCGCCGCAGATTCACCTTGTTATGATAAACCTGAAAGGTCCTTTGGCTTCTCTGTTCTCACAAAGCAATTATCTAGTTCCACACAAACGCCTCGGCTTGTGATTTGGGGTTTATTGTGTAATAAAGAAAGATGAAACTTTAACGACGCCTGGACGGGAGCTGGAGAGTAATCAGCAGAGCGCGTGCAGCGCAGATTAGGCTCCGCCTCAGCGTTCGCAGACAGGAAAGGACACCTCGTGAAGATCGGAGAGACGGGAAAACGCTTCTGGGATTTTGGACGCCCAGGCAAGGCACGCCGAGGCTGCACTAGCATCGAAAGCACACAAACACACACACACACACACACACACACACACACACACACACGCACCAATCCCATCTCTCCCTGCAAGGCCTGTTTCCATAGCAACAGCAAATAAGCTGATAAAATGCCAGAGTAACTGGTTTTCTCCACAGGTGTGGAAATGTGAGAGTGTGAATGTGTAAAGCTGTGTGTGTGTGTGTGTGTGTGTGTGTGTGTGTTTTTGTTTCTGGGCATTTCAAAGTAATGCTTCTCGAGGGGTTTGTGGGTAGGAGGCAGTGAGTAATTGCTGACAGATAACAGAGCATGATGAGTCGTAGTAAGTGTGTGTTTTTCCATGTGAGTGTGAGACGTGCAGAGAGGAAGGACCTGCTTTTCTACCTTATCTTGCACATCCAGCGGGCACTTCTTGTCATGGAGGAATCTCAGGGTCGCCACGTGGCCGTGTCTCGCCGCGTAGTAGATGGCGTTGGCTCCGCTCTGAGGGTTGGAGAGAGAACAGCATTGCAGGATTTATCCCTGACCTTTAGTAAAGAGTCTGCAGCCACACGATAGGAACGCATCCTTGGACAATACTGTGCCGTGCTCTCTAACACGGGATCGTTCTGAGGATGTGCTTGGATGTTGGGCTCAGACACAACGTTGAAGCTGTGGTTTCTAAACGGAGGAACGAGATCAAAACACGTTCTTTCATTGTTTCTGTATAAAGTCATAACGTCTCTATATAAATCTCCTGAACTCGCTGCACCGATGATGACAGAATGAAACTTTATTTAATGGCAGCCTGATGCTGTAAGTCAGTGTGTGCAGCATTAACCTGATTTCATGTGTGGCACTGAAATCAAATCAAAGGCAACGAGATCGCTGCGTCCAGACTTCAGAGACGTGACGTCGACCCTGGTGTGGGTCAGCAGCTCCAGACGTCTCTTATTTTCTAACATCTTGGAAAACAAGGAAGGACCTGCAGCTCGGTGCAAGCACAGAGTGACTGCACGGCACGATGAAGGACGTTTGTCAGGGAGAAGCTGCTGCGGATGTTCAGCTGCTCACAGAACTTCCAGGAACTGTCGGCTATCGGAAGGGAAACGATTTCAGGCTCTGCTAAAGTCTTCCTCCCGTCTCTGACGCTTCACTAATGAAGATGCAGCTGTGACAAAGAGTTTTAGCAGCGGCACAAGTTTTGTGTTTGATGCACTTTGTTGGTTCTGAACAATCTTAAGCAACTTCATAAGTTTCAAAGAAACAAGTGGACGTCAGCTGTCACACGTGGGCTCTGACCGTGCTGCAGGCAGAGCCCGCAGGGCTAAACTCAACCCTCACGTCTACATTAGCTTCTGATTTTTCTAAAGAAGAAGATATCTCACACTTTTTCTTATTTCAAATTAAAATGTGTTTATAAGATATGATAGAAAACCTCTGAGGCACCACAACAGCATCAGTGCACGCAGAGCAAGGACGAACCGACGATCAGAGTCCATCCCAGCATCACTGCGTATGAAACAGCCAATCAGCAAAGAGGAGCGGCTCTGATCACTCGACTGTGTTTGATATGTGTTTCATTTCTGTCATTACACAGGCCCAAATATTCACAATCATGAGAACCTTCATTATGCAACGTCGAAGCAGGTTTGTTCCCTGAAATATTGATTTTTTTATAATATTTGATTTTCAAAAAAGTTTGCTGTTAGCATCTGAAGCTGTCCTGGTTCACATCAGGGTCAAAGGTCAGCTGTTATGCGCCTTACAGCTCCTCCATGCAGTCTTCGTCACAGCAGGTCCGGCTCTTACCTTGTCGTGGGCCCGGATCTCCGCTCCTTTCCTCATCAGGACCTCGATGATCTGAATGTTTCCACAGCCGGCTGCGATCAGCAGGGGAGGGGTCCCGTGCTGCAAAACACACACGCGCGTGTTACGCTTCCTGTTTATGTGTGAACGCTGCGTCTTTAATCTGTGCGGTAAAGCTCAATCTGACAGCCTGTAGTTACACAGAAAACGTGGCGAGGAAGTAAACGAGACTGAGGTAGAAATAATGAATGAAAATGGCGAGATGACCTTTTCTGAACGAGTCCCTGAGCAGAGACAGACTGAGCCGACGAGTCTGTCAGGTACCGACTCTGCCTCTGGTTGTTCATCCTTCCCCTCCTCATTTCTTTCCTCTTCCTATTTTCTTACACTTCACTGAGTTTAATGGCTTCTCGTCCTCACATCGCCCGCCAAGTCCTGACATGTACCCGACCATCAGGCTGCGCGGTGTAAAAACTAAGCGTGTTTTAGTTTCTGTGTAATCATGCCCAGGCTGTGCTTTGATTTATAAAAACCCATAAAACGCTCCCTCGGTGCCACAAACCGGACGTGAACACGCCTCCCTAACACGCTGCACCACGAGCACATCCTCCGCCCACATTCACTGATGTTCTTTAATGAAGACGTGATGATGCTTCACAATAACACTTCAAATCTGCAGATTTCACCTGTTTACACACTGCAAAAGTCTGCAGGTGGCAGATGAGCCTGGAAGCGACTGGGCCCGACTGTGGAAACACGCTCTGTGGAAACACGCTCTGTGGAAACACGCTCTGTGGAAACACGCTCTGTGGAAACACGCTCTGTGGAAACACGCTCTGTGGACCGTCAGTGTTTAAAACGTCAGGCTGTTTTTCTTCTGCTGTGTTTTGGCTGGAGGACGGGACGACCTAGTTTCTGGGATGCTGGCAGCTTTAAATAAATATGGAAAAGACACAAAGATTTTTATGGAGATCTTTGAGACGATTCAAGCTTTCAATTTATTCTTTAATCAACTTTTAATCTGTCATGATTTTGTTGGCGTTGGGATTTGTTGGATAAGCGGTTAATAAAGTCGAGGGATGGTTGTGTCAGACTTTATATTCCTGGGTGGATAGTCCACTTTGCTACGTTTTGCCTTGGATGTGAAAGCAGGATTGCCGTCCACACAGTGTGGAGCACAGCTCAGACATGTAACTCTGACAGCCAATCAGCTCTCTGCGTCGATCAGAGCTGGAACAAGCCGGATAAAACATCATCACAAACATCATTATGCAACACGAGGCTGCACAACAACTGAATAATTTCTCAAATTATTTGCATGATTCATCTGAATCTGGAGCACAGCGGTGCAATCCAGCCCACTGGATACTGTGAGACGTGCCTGCAGTGGAAAAACTGAGATCTTCAGTTTAATAAATCGCTGCTCCCGCTGAGCCAGCGTTCCTACACCGGTGTGAAAAATGCCCGAAAAGGGAAAATTATTCCCTGATTTTCACAATTTCTTGGGATCATGAAGAATAAACAAGTTATTTAGTTATAAAAATTGCAAATGTGACGGTTTTATCTGTTTGAATGGTGACTTTGTTAAATGTGAACGTTTAAAGAAATGCCGCTCGTGTGAGTCTGACCCGTTTCCCAACCTCAGCACAAAGCCAACTCGTTACCGAGTCTTAACCTGGTCCCAGCGTCTAAAACTCAAAGCGTGACTTCTCAGAGAAAGATGGAGGCAGCGCATCCACAGCTCCACACACACGTCTCTGTGTGGATGACTCAGGGTGGCGCCTGCTTCACTTTGATGTATTCAGTTTTGAATAGAGACACTGGCAGACGTGCTTCTGCGCCACTACTTCAGATTCGTTGGGTTCAGCAGGAACGAGCTGAGCGTGTCTGTGCGTCACCTTGTTGGGCTGGTTCACATCGTAGTTGTTCAGCGAGCCGAGGAGATGCTGCAGACCCGGCACGTTGTCGTCATTTATGGCGTGGATGATGGCCTTCATCACAAAGGAGTCTTCCTCGTCCTAAACAGGTGAGAAACACGGTTAAAGACATTTAATCCTCTGCTGCTCACTTGATCTAAACCGAGAATCCAGCGATTACGACTCTGTCAGCGACACGTGACCCGGTCACCTTCAGCCAGAGTCAGCCGTGCAGCGCAGCAACCGGCCGTGCCGCCTCGCTGCACAAAGAGACGACGATGAGCGAGGCGAGGAGGCAGCGAGAGAGCGAGGCTGATGTGGCGTTTGCTCAGCCAAGCTCGACTCTTTGGCCGCATTCCTCAACATAACCTCGCTGCTGGGCGAGCCGTGACTAAAGCACCTCGGAGAGCTGCAAACAGCACAAACATGCACGAGCAGCGAGGCCCTGCTGGGAGCTCCATGCCCACCTCGATCGCACACACGTGAAAAAGACCTCCGGGTCTCGTTGTGACCTCCAAAATACACAGAAATGATTTAATAACTGCAGTCAAAGAAGCGGCCTTCCGACTGCGACGGTAACCACACTCATCCATTTATGCATCGAGCGGTGATGCAAGCAGACGCTCAGCAAGAACGAGCTCTAATCACATGAAGTCTTTCTGCTTCACATCGCTGCCAAGTTCAAATGTTTTTATCCAAACTGCAGAACAAATACCTGAATGTGTGATAAAAAAACAAGACAGACAACAATCAAAAGGTTCATTTGAGGAAGAAACCACAACAGTCCTGCAGGAGCATGCAGGAATAATGAGCTGTCTGAACTAGCGGAGCTGACCTCGGTAACATGAGCTGAACACATGTAAACACTGCAGCTTCTGTGAGAAACTTAATTATTCACAAAGCCGTCCCAGCAGGCCGGCTGTTCTCAGAGCACGAACACCCACCTGTACCTGCTTTTCAGGTAAGTCACTAAACCGTGGAACTGCCTGGAAGTCTCCATCAGAGAGCTTGTGTTTGTTACCCTGAACCACAGGGGGCGCTGTGACCTCACCGTGCCCAGTCCTACCTGTCAGGTCACCTGTGACGGCAGGAAGCTGCTGTGTAATCCTTTGATGACATAACAGGGCCAGCCTCAGCTGCTTTGTGAATGATTAAGCTCCTCACAGAAGCTGCAGTGTTTACATCTGTCCAGCTTATCGTGTCGACTGGAAACGGACACGCTAACAACATAAAAGCCTCCGTGTGTCCGAACAAGCTGACTCATCATTTACCGCAGACGGACGCACGCCGGGAGCCTGGAAACCACACACACACGTTGGGTATTCATGACCTGTGGGGACATCTCACTGACATAATGCTTTCCCTGGACCCTAACCATGGAAAATGAATTCATAAACCTCAGCCTGACCCATAACCAAACTGTAACTAACACTCAAACCCACTTTGAATCTCAAAAATGGCTTCAAACTTGTGGGGACCAGGTCTCCATAAGGGCTGACGGTCCCACAAGTACAGTAAACCTCCCAACAAAGACACACACACACACACACACACACACACACACCAGGAATGAGGAAAAGATGGTTTTCTGCCGTCTGTCAGGCCACAAATACCTGAGCTGTAACTGAACATTCAGTCAAACTGAAAGTTACTCTAACGCTTGGCTGGAGATAAGGACTGACTTCAGAGCTGGAGCCGGTGCATGAAGCTGAACGTATTTATGTGCTGCTCTGCTGGTGTGAGGCCCCGTCTTACCAGCGTGTCGTCGCTGCGGGCCACGCTGATGTTGCTCCTGGACAGGAAGGAGCGGGACAGGCGGTTACATAAGGAGATGAGTCGGACCGATTGCTGCAAGAGACAAACAGAGAAGACACGGGGTCGGTGAATGTGCAGAAGCAGAACAAGCTCACGTCACGTCACGTTAAGGATCCCCGCCGACAGGCAGGAGAGCGATTTTCTGCTCTGGTTGAGTTCTTTGCTCCGATTCATCGCTCGTAACCCGCTGACCTGCACGTGGATTGACCTCACACGTCTGCAAATGTTCCAGCTTCACCTCGATGTTACAGATTATATATCAACCAGAGAGCGAACTGACGACCTCAAATGATCAATAAACACATAAATGATTTTGTCCAATTAATAAGAATTCATTTATTAAAAGCAGGTTTTCTTTGTGTCGCTGCAGTTTTTTATTTTTCCCTCTGAATTTCGAGATGAGCCTGAGCTGCGTTTAACGTTTGTGTGTTTTGGAGGTTTTTGTGTATCAAACATAAATAAATCCTCAAAGATGAAGGTTGCTGCAAAGCCAGGAGCTGCTGTGAGTCACCAAACAGAAGACAGAAACATGGCGACAGCAGCGCCGCAGCTTCAAACGCCACTGCGTTGTGTTGGCTGGGAGCGTCGCCGGGTCAGCTGTGACGAACCGAAGCAGACACACAGTAAAGAAGCCGGCGGTGAATCTGATGGCTGCGGCGACCCCGTGGCGATCAACAGTGACAGCGAAGCACCAATGAGGAGACTTTGTAGCAAGAAGCTTTCAGAGTGCATCATGGGAAATGTCTTTTATTGCTCCTGAAGCTTCAGCGTGAGCGTAGAAACCAGTAAGATGGAAAACTCTCACCTTCCACTTTCTCCTGGCTGCAAACTTTTTGAACTTCTCCATGTTGACGGCCGACTCCTTCCTGCTCAGAGCCTGCTGAGTGTCCTTTGGCTGATTATAGGAAACAAAACGAGATAAATGTTAAAGTTAGAAAAGCTCGGACAACAAAATCCAAACGCTGACATCAGTCCCACCTTGATCCAGGGGTGCTGCAGGCTGTCCTGGATGGTCATTCGCTTTCTGTGGACAGAAAAGGAAACTCGATGATTCACCATCAGATGTTCCAGCTGCTGCGGGTCAGCTTCGGTCTTTTTCTTTGTGCATTAATGCTGATTATTTTCTGTTTTACAAAGGAAACACACAGTTGGGATGGAGACACGAAGCCTGACAGCAGCAGGACTTTCATTTATCTCCTAATTGTTTTCATTTGAGTTGCTTTAATCTGAGGCAGTTACAGGTTATAGATGTATTTTTGGTTTTATTTGTAAAATGTTTTGTGTGCTTTGAACCTGCTGCCCTCTGTTTGAACCTGCCAGGCTTCCTGTGTGGGTTTACTTCCTCCCACAGTCCACAGACACCCACACCGGGTGAGTGTAAACTGGCTGTAGGTGTGCGAGCTGTGCGTCCGTGTCAGGCTGCAGCCTCGGCCACGTCTCTGTGCGTCTTTTAATAATCGCTTGCTGATATTACACAGCTGACCTTTGTCGCTCTGCACCTAATGAGCAATAAAGATGCTGCTCTTTGTTAACCTGGAATATTCAGTTTCCTCTTTCGATGCTTCTCTACGCGGCGTCTCATGAAAGGCGGTACCGAGAAACTCGGCGTGGTCGTCGGAGTAAAGGGAACAAATCTACGTGATGCACTTCGGTGCTACTTCCTGAGACAGACAACAGTTTGACAGATTTTAAAACGCTCACATTTCATCCAAACAAAGCAGAAGTTAACCTGACAGAGTGCTGCACCAACATTAATGATTAATATTTAGTAAAGCTCGATGTGCTTCAGGGACGGCCTCAGTCCAACAACAGCCCATTGTTCAGGAAAGGTTTCCGTACGTCCTACATAGATTTTGGGGAACCTGGCGAAGGCGCCGCTTCCTCTCGGCTCGGCCCGATCGCCACCACATCCCCGTTTGCAGCCGAGGCGACTGCATTCACACCAACCACACAGGTTCCCAGATTTCCAGGCCTGTGCTGGTGCAGCTTTAACCCAGCAGACTTCATAACAGCATCTCTTCATTATCTTCCTGAATGCAAACCTCGACGCAGATCAATTAAAAGCCGTTCCATTACGAAGCGCTCGGCCCGTCATCTCTGAAAGCCCCATTAGGTGAAGCTGGTAAAGTCTCTCTGTTTACAGCAGCGCATGCCCACCCCTCATCGTCTCCTCTCTGACTTATCCAAATGAAATCATCCTCACACCTACAATTAATCACCTCTGTTAGCCCCCTCGTTCTCACGCCGTTGTTTTGAAAGGAGCTGGCGTAATTACGAGCAGAAAAGAGCTTGATGGCGGTAACTGTCCTCGAGCACAGCTGCAGCCATTCAGCTGTTGCTACAGCAACTCTGTAACGAGGGAACAGTCCAAACAATTTTAGGAGCCAGCGCCAAAAGGCACGGCGCCGAGCGAGGAGGCAGCGTAGCTGGAATATCTGCAGAAAGCACCTATTCAATTTTCCTGTCAGCGTTTTAAAAGCGATTAAACGAGACCAATCAGAGAGCGATCATTTAGAAGTCAACGCGTCGTTTAAACGCTGCTGTTACAGCCAAGACTCAGAGCTGAAGACGAAATGTGTTCGTTTGTTGTTCAGCTGACTGGAGGAAATCACACCGTCAACCAAACCACCTCGAGTCAGGATACGCAGGAAGGCCTCAAAGCAGACTTGTGTCTGAAGGAGTCACCCTGCAGTCTGGCAGCTCTGCATGGAAACGTTTGTCGTGATTAAAGCAGCTCCTGCTCTGATGTGACTCTAAGGCCGCTTTGATCTCAAATACAATGGAAACAGAACATACTTTGGATCTTTGACGAGCAGCCTCGCTATGAAGTCTTTGGCCAGCACGCTGGTGTTGCTGAAGAACTCCTCATCGAAGGTGTAGTCCACCGCCGACACGTTGGCCAGAGTCTCCTGCTTGTTGTCGCCCAGGAAAGGAGAGGCTCCGCTCAGGCTGCAGGACGAGAAAGGTTAACGGAGAGGTCAGAAACGTGCAGGCTGGCGGGTTTTTATCTTTGTGTGAGGACTTTAACAAACCAGCTCTGCATCACATCAGGTGGAACCTTCTCTGACTACAGCTCAGCTGTCTTGTAATCACAAAGGAAGAGGAATTCTGATTTTAGTCCAAACGCTGATGAGCTTCAGCCCCTGAAATCCAAACTACAACCGTACAACGCTTTGCTGAGTGAATGTGATTAAAGAGCTGCAAATAACTGACTCGTTAGTGAAGCGTCGCTATCAAACACTCTCAGGGAAACCAGCTGGACTGCTCTCGGTGTGAGTGCAGGAATTTTAATGCACCTCTCCACTGAACGCACACACAAAGCAGATGCACTGAGGGGAGCACGTTTTAATGGACAGACCACGGCGCAGCACACGCAGGGCTGAGCAGTCGTGCACGTTAACGAGGGCTCGGCCTCCCGGACTTTAGCCCGTTAAACCGAACAGCAGCTCCCGACAAACCCGGCCTCCCCTTCTGCTCCGACTCCTGCATCCCGTCACCAGCTGCTAATTAACATGTGATCTGGGGGAGGCGTGGAGCTGGTGCAGGTCGAGCTCAGGCTGAGTGGAAATGTATGAATTTATCGAGTGTATAAAGCTGCTCACAACAAACGAGTCATTGCGGCGGCTCGTTACGAGGCCAGGCGATACAATCGGCAGGGAAGTGTGACGTCAGGACTCCTGGTGACATTTTACCTCCTGGTTCTCCAAAACACTCGTGCACTGAGCACCAGGCCGAAATCAAGCCCTGTGACCAGCCTGAAAGCCAGACTGGGGGTCAGCAGAGCAGAGAGGCGCCACGTTCAGTCATAGGATTCCAGGCTGTGTGGCGCACGGCACGCCAGGCCTGATGAAAGAGGAAATAAGAGCGCGTTTCATTACCCAGAGCACTGTTTATGATTCTGTGGTCATCGTGTCACGCTCACCGAACGCTCCCCCACACACACACACACACACACACACACACACACACACACACACACACACACACACACACACACACACACACACACACAACATTACATTTGCCAGTGAGAGATGAAGAGTCAGCGCACCTCTCTGTTGCTCTGCTGTGATAAGAAGCTGAGAACAATCTATTTTCTACCTTGCCAGGCTGAGCTGTGACAGCTGTGTGGGCGGACGCCACGAACTGGGATGCATGTGTGAGTGTGCGTTTGTATTCATGTCTTTGTGGGGACTGGGTAGATGTCCCCACAAGATATCAATACCCCACGTGTGTGTGTGAGCACAGACACATTTGTTTGAGATTGTGTATCATGCAAACTGAAAAGCTTGTATTGTTTGCAGCTGCTTATTATTGAATATTCTGATGACACCTTTAGGTTGGCGTTTGGCATTTACCCCTTCTCCCTCCCGCTCTCTCTCTCTCTCGCCTTGTTTTGTTTGGCACGCTCACATGTTTGTGTAGGCAAACGCAACTAATGTGCGATTTGTTTTTTGGAAAAATTGGTGTAGGTGTCACTTTGAAGGATAAAGGTGCGCGGGAGCTCAGGAAGCCTTCAGCTGAGTACACAGAGAGGCGACGGGATCATCGAGAGCCGGCAGCAGTCGACCGGCGGGTCGTCGAGGACGTGAACTTCACTTTTGCTGCTGAATTAAACTGTGCTGACACGTCTGCAGGCGACTGCTTCACAAACACAGAGCACACAAACAGCTGTCTGCAGAACGGCTGCTTTAAAGACCAAACTAAGTGAATTCAGGAGAATTTGTTGGATCTAATCAGACTACTGCGATCCTCCGAGCTCCTTTATCAACCCAACGACATGCTGATAAGATCAAAGCATCGGCAGAGCAGGATAACGTCCAGAGTCAATTAGCTTAAGCAGACTAGCCTCAAACAACAGTGCACGTTAGCGCTAATATTTAAGAATCAGAGCAAATAAAAGAAAAGTTTTCAAATATTAAAAACAGCTTAACGTGCGAGTTACATGCAGAGATTATCATCCCTGGGAAAATCCCATCTGTGGCTCAGAGGCAAATATCTGATCTGTTTAAAGTGTTTTAAATATTGTGACGAGTTTCGGCTCATTTAGGTTCCAGTGTGCACGCAGCAGGAAAAACAAGCTTTTAATAACAGGGCTGTTCAGTGTGCCGGAGCAAACATCCTTCTAAAAAGGCCACTTCTTTAAAAATAATCAAACACTGCAGGAATTTACTATATAAATCAGTTTTATATTAAACAACCTTTTCCATCAGTAGATAATTGGACATGCGATGAGAGCGGGTCCCATCACAGCGTGACAGTCGGCGAGCCCACAGGAAACGTGTCGCCGACCCTGTGACGGCTTCGTTTGGTGACTGAGCTCAACTCTTCCTCAAATGAAACCACGAAGAACAAAGAAATCAAAGAAACTGATGATGGCGTTGGAACAAAACGTTCTTTGGGTGAAAACCAGCCGCTGACCGTGGAAATCCAGCAGCTGTGGGCTGGATGCAGTCGACAACAACTCGCAGCTTGATATTTAATACGAACACAATCACAACAGTAGCTCTCCGACGCCATCTTTAAAGCGCTCTGTGGGTGTTTGCTGGTTTGGGTGTGACACGAAGCGCCATCAAGAAAAAAGGCTTCGCACAAAAGAAGAGTCAAAAAGATCAAAGATGGAAGGAAACGCGTGTTTTAATGACATGATTCAAAATCGCGGACACACGTGTTTGCTCGCAGCTGTTTCCTGTTAGCTCGTGATTTTCGCAGCTGGGCCGTCACGTTTTATGAGCTTTTGAATTATTTTTTTTTGCTGCTAATTTCTGATGTTTCAGTGCATTTGAGCTCTCAGGGCCACCGTAGATTCGCCCACCGAGGTCAGAGAGACGCCGCTGAGATCGCCGCGTCTTGGCACTCACTGCTGCTCACGCTCAGCGAGTGAACACACAGCAAAGTGAAACATAAAAACTGGTCCCTTCCCATCAGGTGTAAAAGCCGTCAGCCTGCATTCTTTCTAATGGCCAAAAGGGGGCGACTCCTCTGGTTGCAATAGAAAAACGAGCGGACGGCTCGATTCATCCTGTAATTATTCCAATTACAGTCAGACAAGCAGAGCAGGTTCAAAAAGCTCCATCGCTTACATACAGTTTATGCAAGAGCAGGTTTGCTGTGGGGTTGAGATACTCACAGGATGTAGGTAATCACACCGACGCTCCTGGGCGGAGGCAGGAGAGAGAAACAGAGTTCAGCTTTTCAACATCTCGAACATCAAACACCATGAAAATCCTCGATGTATTCTACAGCAGACGCACAGCTGGGATGAAGCTCTGCGTGTTTACTCACCACATGTCTGCCTCCAGGCCCAGAGGTTCGTAGTTGACGACTTCAGGAGCTGCGAGGAAACAGCAGATTGTTAGCAGTCAGGTCGGCACACAGACGTTACTTCTTCTCCACACTAATTCTTCTCAGAGTTTGCTGAGCTTTACTGGAGCGCACGATCGCTTTGGGCTAGGTTCGCTGATTTGTTTGTTCCTTCAGAGGTGGGATTTTTTTATGGCGCCTGCTAAAGCTGCGATTTCTTTTCTCCCCACTTGTCTGTAAATGTGTGAATAATCAAAGACAAATCACCGAATTCATTTCTAATCGTGCTGAAACAAAACATCCTTCATCTGAAAGAAGAACCCACAAAAATCAACGGGATGATGTCATCGTTTTTCCTGCAGCTCCATTTATGGGCCAAATGCTTCCAGACTGTAAACAATACGTTTTCAGCCTTTATTAGTTTATTATTGACAATAAATCAGCTAACAGTGTTTCCCCACCTGCAGAAGTGTCTGTATATCTGTGTGGTTTTTACATTTGGGTGCAGCGCTGCGTTAGAGTACGTTTCATTACGTCTCTGTGTGGAGCTGTGACTGAGCTGCGACGCAGAACAACTCGATGCAAATTGCAGCAATCATGTGTTAAAGGATCTAAACTACCTTAATTTCCTCCATGAGCCGTGCATCAGGGCCTCGCCTCTAACAGCCGACTGTGTTGGTAAATGAGCCAGAACAGCAGGGCGAACTACAACAACTAACTTCCTGTTGCTTTTACAGCCCCAGCACGCCGCCGTCAGTATCACACACTCACCTTTTCCAGCTCGCCCTGCAGCGGCCGAGCGCTGCGTTCCCGAGGCAGAGCAAAAACTGAAACTGCAAATGCAAACTGCAAAAGCAAGACCGTGGCTCAGGGGGTTGGGAAGCACATCTGTAACCGGAAGATCACTGGTTCGATCCCCCTGCTCTCTCTGTCCTGGTCGTTGTGTCCTTGGGCAACACACTTCACCAGCTGTGGCTACATCTGTAGCTGCCTCCATCAGTGTGGGAATGAATTGTAAAGCGCTTTGGGTGCCTTGAAAACGCTATATAAATGCAATCCATTATTATTATTATTCTTGGCATTTACATTTACATCTGCCATTTCATCTGCTCGCTTCATACCGGAGACGAGACGAGCAGAGACGAGCAGGATTCAAGAATCCTGGATTTTAAACAAACAGCCTGCAGGAGCAGCGAGAGCAGCCGTGGAGGGAAAAGCTTTTAAACTTTACTTTGACTTTTAACTTTTGATTCAGTTTTTCTGCCTCAGACTTTCCTGAAATTTTAAAATGGCTTAAAATACCAACTCAGACGAGACTTGCAGAAGGACTTAATTTATTTTGAATCTTATTTTATTATATTGAGCTTTTATTCTTATTTGCTGCTTCAACACTTTAGGTTTTCAGCGCTGAGAACAAATAAAGAACATGTTATTTTATGGAAAGCATGAATGTTTATGTTTTGCAGCTGACTCGATTCTCCAGCATCGTCTATCCCACACATCGTTTGGCTTTCTTCCACCTGATCTTTATTTACACCATTTGCCCGCTGACACCCCGCTGCAGCGGGAACGTGCTCTGGTCTTGGCCTGGATCTTGCTGGTAGTGGGCACTGGCACCAGGTGGAGGGTTGGCTGCTGCCCCAGAGAAGAGTAGATGAGGGCAGATGGCACTGGTGTCTCTGCGAGCGTGTGTACTGGTTTAGACATCTTTGTGGGGACCAACAGTCACTTATGAGGACAAAGTGCCCGTCCCCACGAGTGTGAGACTCAAAATGTGGTTTTAGTGTCAGGGTTACAATTAGGTTATAGTTACTGTTAGGCATTCATTTTTCATGGTTAGGGTAAGTGGCAAGAGAAAGCATTATGTCAATGAGATGTCCTCACTAAAATATCAAAACAAGAATGTGTGTGTGTGTGTGTGTGTGTGTGTGTGTGTGTGTGTGCAGGCAGCAGGGGCCAGTTCTGATAATCTCCGGCCTATTATCAGGTCTCTCTCTCGGTCCCTCCGGTACATTTGGCGTCCATTCTCACAATATGCAACCTCTGGGATGAAGCCAGGAGAACAGGGTGGTGCAGTGTGTGTGTGTGTGTGTGTGTGTGTGTGTGTGTGTGCGCGCGCGTGTGTGTGTGTGTGTTCATGGTGGAAAACAGAACAGTGTCAGAAACACAAAGCCCCGTGTGCACAGCTGTGGGACACTGACCTACAAACTCTGGAGTTCCAAAGATGTTTTTAAAATCGTTGCCAAAATCGATCTTGTGGGCGAGTCCGAAGTCGATGATCTTGATGCGCGGGTGAGGCACTGAGCGGTTCAGCAGCATGATGTTCTCCGGCTGCAGAGGAGCAAAGAAAACAGGATTCATCAGCCGAACCAGACGGGAACTAGACTTACTCACAGGCTGGACTTATAATTATCATCATTTATAATCGAATAATTCCTGAATAATCAGGCCTGTCTCATCTTAAAGACTACCTGTTATCCAAACAGACGCTATGAGTATTTAACAGTAAATGGGAGGCGGAGCCTTCAGCTGTCAGGGGCTCTCTTATGGACTCAGCTCTACTTTCAGATCAGACTTAAAACTGTCTTTGTTGAGCAAACATGTGCAGCTCTGGACTTCCTGTGATTTTCCATGATGCACACAACACTTCTCCTCCTTTCACTCCACATGTGTTTACATTCAACAGCTGCATGTCATCAACTTTTATCTCTCACACAGTTCAGGTTTTCTCTCTGCGGTTCCTCTGCAGCAGGTTGGTTGTCAGACAGTGCTGCTGACACCTGATCGTCTCTCTAATATCAACCTTTCAGGGAACTGTTATGAATCGACTGTAAAAATCAAACTGAAGCGATTAGACAGAGGAGGAGGTGACATTTCCATAAAGCACGTCCATCTGCCCGCCATGATTTCAATGAAAAACAGCTCAGACGTCCAGAAACAGAGCAGACGTGTGCAGGAAACAGCGTGTCCTGTGTGTGCAAATAGAGGAGGAGGCAGGAACACACAGGAAGAGTCTGGCAGGAAGCAGGCTCATCAGGGATGGAAATCCCATGCAAATCATGAGTGGAAACCTCTCGAGGAAGTGGGAGAAAGGATAGAAAGCCAAAGACGAGCTTTAGATGAGTCCGCGTTCCCTTCAGGTCTCGTCCTTTCAGCACGATTACGAGCCTGGGATTCAGTGCGGGGAGGAACAGATTGGCTGTGGGCAGCGCTGACAACAGCTCGCCCGCTCTGTTCTCTGCTCCACCAGCAGCGATGTTTATGCTCATGTTTATGCTGGAGTGAAGGAAGATGATCCAATGTGGGTTACAAGCTGTTCCAGGTCTCCGTCTGCATCGTGTGGACACCTTAAACCAGGAGCAAAGTGGAAACTGCGACAAGGCGGCGAACGCAAACACAGACACGATCGGTAAACAGAGACAGAGCCGACGCGTCGGAGCCGAGTTTTCATTTCATATACTTTCCAGTAAAAGAGCAGGTGACTCTAAATGATTACACGCACTGAGTTCACAGGTCACGTTACTGTCTCTAACAGCTGATTGGAAAAGAAAACTTTTGCATTTCCTTATAAAAGCAGCGTAAACAGCCTCCAACTAAAACTCACAAAACATCTTATGAAGCGTCATATGACCAGAACACGGGTGGAAATATAAAAGACGCCTGACTTTAGTGGGATCAGTAAGTAAAGTATATTAAATGAAGCTGAGCAGTGAATAACGGCGGCTAATGCGCGGAGCGGAGGTAAAAGCTTGGTAAAGCTCCGGCATCGATCACGAGCGGCTGAGCTCAGAGGTTATCATTATCTGCAGGCCTGAGGCCAGCGTGTCCCAAACTGTGATGTACGAGGACACCAGGACGCCGCGCAAGTGGAAAACTGATCAATGATAATGACGAGACACAAACAAAGAACACTCACAACCAGAAACACTGGAGCTCGTCCAGCAGGGAGGAAACATAATGTGCTGCGCTGTGCCGAGTGCTTCCTGACCTCTGCTCGTCCCTCTGGAAAACTGTCCACTAACAACAGAGACCTTAAACAACAGATTAGTCATGACTATGAGCCCGGAGACACAGAGAGAAATCAGAGTGGTCAGAAAGATGCCACGTTATCAGCGCTCCAGTCAGCTGACGGTCAGGAGCAGGACACTCCCAGGGTTTCACTGAGACAGAAAACCGTGACAAACCTTTGGTTCTCGTGTTTAAGGACGTTAATGAGACGAATCCCTGGAAAACCGAAACAAACTATTGAACATCACACAGCCAGTTAGTTGGCGTGTAAGAAGTGCATTTGAAAGGCGCGCTCACTCAGACACGTTTGTGTCCTCTGAGATCGTCTGAACTCACACAGCTCAGATATTTTAAACATCATTGTATTTCACATAGCAAAGTTTTTCAGGGCTCCAGTTTGGTTTTTATATGTGCACAGTTAATTCAATATTAATGATGGTTTCAGTCGTTTTATCCCAACTAAACATGAACGGATCCGTTTTCATCGTCAATTTTCTTTTTATGTTTGAATATTTGGCAAATCTCCTAGGAGACACGGACAGACTCCGAATGATTCGATGAATCGATTCGTTGTTTTTAGATCTTTTTCATTGTGAGTGCACAACATCCTCAGCCCTGCGTGTTATTAATGTGAGCCACTGAACTATCGCACAGCTTTTATTTTATCTTTTTTATCAGTGGGTACAGCACACACACACACACACACACACACACACACACACACACACACACACGCACGCACACACACGCACACACTTTGTTTTCATATCTTTGTGGGGACACCTCATTGACATCATGCTTTCCCTAGCTGCTTACCCAGACCATAGCCCAACTGTAACCCTGACACTAAAGCCACATTTTGACTCTCTTCGAACTCGTGGGGACGCACTTGTCCCCAAAAGGGCTGTTGGACCCCACAAGTATACTTCAGATTTTTGGTCCCCACAAAGATATGTAAACACACACATATGCACACACACGCACGCACGGCGGACTCGGTTCAGCTGCAGATGTACCTTGAGGTCGAAGTGAGCGATCCGCTTGGAGTGCAGGTAGTGGACTCCATCCAGGATCTGCTTGAGGAACTGCGTGGCCTCCTCCTCGCTCAGGGACTCCTTCTCTGCCAGGAAGTCGAAGAGCTCGCCTCCGGCCACCCTGGGCGAGGTGAAAGAAGGACGGGGAGGGGGGAGAGGGAGAAAGTGAGATCTCTGAGATCAAAGCCAGCAACAAATCCCAGATTAACACAGCTCAGCTGATGTAATCTAATCATCCTGATGCTTTAGCAGCCGACCAATTTACACATCCAGAGGAGCGCTGTCTGCACAAAACCGCTTTAAGTCAATGAAACCCTTCAATGAAAACGACCTGTTGGGTTATTTAACAACGGTGCACCATTTCCTGTCTGCATTTCAATAAACAGCTGCAAATGTTCAAGTTCAAACACGAACTTGAAGGAAGAAATAACACCGGCCAGTGCTGCAATTACACTCTTTAAATAAATAAATAAATAAGACTCTGCAGCTTCTCTCACCAACCTCCTAAAAACCCGGCTGACTTTACTTCATATGAGCTCATCGAACACAATGAAGCTGAGATTCAAAACTTCTTACATATTTTATTCTTCACAGTGAGGAAGAGCAAAGAGAGACGTGAGGATAAAACAGAGGAAAGCTCTGAACAGAGACGGGGAACGGAGAGGACGGAGGTTCGTCTCCGTCACGGTGAGATAAAACTAGCAGCAGTAAGAGAGTGTGTGTGTGTGTGTGTGTGCCTGTTTAGACGTCTCTGTGGGGCCCACATATTGCTACTATACTTGTGAGGGCCAACAGTCACATCCTCACGTTGTAGTCTCAGGGTTACAATTAGGTTATGGTTAGGGTTAACATTCATTTTTGATGGTTATAGTAAGCAGCTAGGGGAAACATGTCAATGACATGTCCTCACTAAGATATGAAAACGAGTTCCAGTTCCTCACATTTATTCACTGCAAGGTAGGAAAAGCACAACAAAGCTGTACTTTCTCAGGAAGCTGCGTCAGGCCCAACCACCCAGAGACTGCTCGTGAACTTCTACCGCTCCACCATCGAGAGCCTTCTGACCTACTGCTGCACACTCAGGTTCGACTGCTGCACCATGGAGGACAAGAGGAAACTGCAGCGGGTGGTGAAGGCAGCAGAGGCACCTCACTAACCCCCCTCAGAGACATTTACACCGGCAGACTTCATCATCAAAGACCCCTCACACCCTGCACACTCACTTTTCCTTCCCTCTGGTAAACGTTACAGCTCCATCAGGTCGAAGACAAACAGACGCAACAGACGTTTTTACCCACAGGCTGTCAGACACGCCCTACCTCCACCCTGATTGGAGGATAACTGCACTGCCAACACTCACGTCACACTTCATTTATAAACTGCATGTTTATTTATACTTTAATGGAACCAACATCCCTCCCACTTTAAACTGTACTTATTATTTATTATAGTAGCTACTGCACCTCATTGTTCTTGTAACAGTGACAATAAAGATTCTACTTTCTATTCTTTTCTATTGATTGTTAGAAACACATTTACTTTGATAAATTGTGTTTACTTTGCTGTGGAAAAATAAAATGACCACAGTTAATGTTCCCCATCCTGAAATAGAAACACACACACACACACAAACACACACCACACGTTCGAGGGGGAACACCAGACCAGCTGCACAGCTCCGCCCACTCTTTACCTCATCATCTGCTTCAGTGGTTCACAGGACGCGCGCACACACACACACACACACACACACACACACACACACACACACACACACACACACCAGCTCTGTCGCGTCTCTGCAGCTCGTAGCTGTGCGTCATTATCGTGGCTGTATTTACCACGACGGCAACGCAAAGACACAAAAGGGCCCCAGAATCAACACAACACGACATCTTGTCTCTTCGATTTCGCCGCACACTCGAGAGCCGACTTTGACTATAAACACCAAACTGTACCGACATCAGCTGTTTCCATTTCACATGCAGCGTCTGCACAAACAGGCGACTCCTGTGAAATAAAAACTGGCACCGGGACATCAATACACTTCAACACATGACGACAATATGTCACCATCACTGAACACGATTGTGCGCCGCGTCTGACGTCTGCAGAGTCTCAGCGCTTCGTCTGAAAGTGTCGCTTTACTGTGACGTACATCAGGAGGAAGGTGAATATCCGCGGGCTGCTGAAACGCTTTAAAGACGGTGGGTATGCAAATAGCGTGAGGCGAAACGTGTCGCGACTTTAAAGCCTTCTAATAATCATCAAGTTGTGTTAAAACCCATTTTTGAAGCTGAAAAATGAAGCGAACGACTTTAAAATCTGCCTGCATTAAAAATCACACCTGGGACAGAGGAGGTGTTGGGTCTCTGTGGACAGCTCCTCCCACGTCATTAAACCGCGGCTCCTGCTGGCTGTTTAACGGGCTCTGTGCCTGACGTTACGACTGTGTGGTGCTAACCATCCAGAAAGTGGGTGGTGTCACCGTGGCTTCATCAGTCTTTCATATCACCTGTGGTTCTGACCCATAACAGATCAGAGGTTCGTTCCAAGTACAGAAAAAACATTGAAATCACACGTTACCAGATCCAGAGCGCAGCCACACCTGTCAGCAGCGTTTACCTCAGACATCAACCCAGCCAATCCAGGAGGTTCGAGCTCTTGTGTAACATTTAAGCATTTAAAGCCTTTAAAACAAACTTCCTGGTTCATATTTGATCCTCTATCAGCAGCAGCTGAACACCGACAGACGTCTCGTCACCATCAGCAGATCAAAGTGCGTCGTGAAAACGAGACGGATCGAAGACTTCAGGGAAACTCAAGTGTTTTCTGCTGAAATATTTGGCTTGTATGTGAACTCTATACTCTCACAACCATCAGCGCCTCCATCACTTATGGAGGCGCTGGTGTGGCTTCTGTGGTAGCCTGGTGTGTTTCTCCTCTGAACTCTCACACGTTCGAGCTGCGACACCCAACAGAGGAAGCTCGAGGACAGAAACGTCTCCTGCTTCACTCACTCGTTAATAACGCCCACAGATAACCGACCTCCACTTCCTCTGAAAGACTCACAACATCTGCACTTCAACAACACAAAGAAAAAAGCATGAATTTTCCATATTTGTCCTTCATGAGGTTCACTACGTCATTACGTAGTGAAAATAAAGTGAGCAGTGAACATGTGGGATACTGTGTGTGATGGAGGCAGAGGATAGATGGATGGAGCAGAGGTGGAGGTCTTTAGAATGACCCGAGGGCAAAGGTGGCTCAGCTGACACGCGTCCCTGACAGGTGAGAACCTCCCGAAACACGACGTGTCTGAGGAGGGAGACGGCGGCTCTCAGACCATCCACTTACAAAGTGCCTCCGACAGTCTTACAGGTTTAAAGACGCGACTTCTTATAAACTTCTTATAAACTTATGAGCTTGGATTTAAAAAGGCCTCAGAGAGGAGATAAACGGCTACTTAGGGTGGAGAATTTGAACATGAACTGAGGCGTCACTATTTTAAACCCATGAATGTTCTCAGTAAACTGATTATATGCTAATGAGAGTTTTCCCCTGATTTTACTGCTGAACCTGTAATTTCACAGCCCATGAACAGAGTCCAATCAGGAGCAGAGAGGCTGTGTTTCCTGCTTTGGGAACGAGGAAACATGAAAACTGGAAAACAACAGCCAACCTCATTCTGCTGTTATTAACATGTTCTAACATCTTTAACAGCCTAAAGAACATAAACAACAGAGATACACGACATGGAAAAGAGATTATTTGTTGCCATAGTTACGCGGTCTGCCCGCTCACTATCAACGTGGAGACGAGGTCGCGGCGAACCACAACAAACACGGTGCCATTATTTCAGACGCGATCAGCGGACAGGAATGCCGTCGGGCGACTATCTGCAGCGCGGCGACCTTATTGTTGAGGCGCAGAGTAATGGTGAATAATGGTGCATAGTTGGAATACAAACACTGCTGATGTTTGAAGTAAGCGTGTAAAACTGGTTTAACTGGTGGGATACAGTTAACGTCACCGTTTTTATCAGCCGTCTGTTTGAAGACAAACCGGCTCCTGCAGGACGTTTATCAGAGGAGGAGCCAGTCTGTGTCTCCTCCACAAGACAGACTCTCACCGATTCTGGTCGGGCGTTTGGCTTTTTTTAAATGCTTTAAAAATCTGATGAATGAATCCCTCTGATCTGCTCTTCACGTGTTTCACGTGTTCTGATTTGAACCTTTATGACGCAGAATCTTCTTTATTTTTTTACTTTGTTGATGTTTTTGGACCTTTTGTGGTTTTAAATGTATTTTACACATGTTTTTGACAAACAGAAGACAAACTCACAGCTCCAGGATCAGGATGACCTCCGCCTTGTTTTCAAAGACTTCGTGCAGCGCGATGACGTTCGGGTGCTGGATCTCTTTCAGGATGTTCACCTCGCGCTCGATGTCCTCCCGCGTCACCCCTCGTCGGCTCGACTTGCTGCGCCGCTTCTTGATGAATTTGGCGGCGAACTCCACACCTGTAGTCCTGTGTCTGCATCTTCTGACCACAGCAAACTGACCGCTGCAGACGGGAGGGAACACAGAGAGCGCTCAGCAAACACTACAACAGCTTATTTCAGACAGAGGATGAAGTCTGAGACAGGTGATAGACAGAAGGATTATTCTGAACTGTGAACACAAAGCTGCTGTAGCAGAGACCTAAGAGAGCATATGGAGCTACATGATGACTGCAGCTGAAAGGGCAGAGAAATCATTCAGAACAAACCTGAGAAAATGAAAAATACACAAAGATGTGTAGCAGCGAGCTGAAAGGAACCTCGGCTGCTCAGCGACCTTAAAAACAGACTTCAGGCTGCATATATGCATCACTGTCAATATGGTAAACACAGACATCTGAGCCAAAGGGAGTGGGAGGGATTATGAGAAGCAAACTGGTGATCAGGAACAGCTTTAATTAATAAGTGCTGGATGAATCACGGCTGAAGCTGAAATAGCAACGCAGGAATAAAGACAGCAGCGTGCACGCTCACACTCACGTCAGTGCAACACGACAACCTGCACGGGTGCAGTCGGGTTATTTCTCGTGGCCTTGGTCTCTGATGCAGAACGCTCCCACATCTTTAATAAAAGACTTGTGCACAGAGTGCAGAGGCACACCTCCCTCCACCTTCAGCAGCCCCTCGTAATCAGTTCAGGAACAGTGTGCAAAAAGCAGCACAGCTCTCAGTGTCAGCACCTCGTCCACAGAGCCGACAAACATCCAGACTTTAAACTCTTACTCTGAAACCAGACGTGCACCTCAACAATAATGAGCTGCGTGTCCTCGTTGGCGCGTCCGGCACAGATACTCTATGCAGTGTATCCAACCTGGGCCGATGAAAATGAGAAGATCTGTATGTTTTTTACCCATCACACACTAGAGGCGTGTGGTTGTTGTTCTATTATGTGATAAACACACAGGCTGGGATCATTTGGGAACGTTTTAACTGCTCTTATGTAGAAAAAGCCCATAAACCGACTATAAATCCGCCCAGAAATGTTGATTTTTAAAAAGAAGAAAAGATTTCGATGATAAATCCGTGGACGGTCACGCTAACCTGGGCCCTGGACGAGGAGGCTGATCGGAGCATGCTCAGTGACGCTGAGCTTCACAGTCGGCTTGTTATCGAAACACTGATGATGCTTTACAAAGTGAGTGACATCACAACGACCTCACCGACCGCTGGTGTGTAACTTTGTCTCCTGACATCGTGTAGTCGCCACGTAACAGATAATAAGCAGATTGTCGCCTCTCCCACAGGATACAAACTCAAACTGAAGTTCCTCCGTCACCACATCTGCACAGATGTTTCCGCCCTTCAAGCCCGTCTTTATTATTTGCTGTTGACAGGCTGCAGCAAAGACAATGCTGCTGATCCCCGCACACGTTCCTGAAGGGCACACGTGAGCGCTTCGCCCAGATGTGGCGAGCCTGCGTGACATTTCGCTGTGACGATTATTGCATGTATCAACAACACAGAGGCTGTTATGGAAATCGCACCGTCGCGTTGCCACGCAGCGCTGTGGTTGATCAGACTGCTGACTCCTCTGCCACTCGACCAAAGCAGCGCCAGAAAAACCACTCGGGGAAGCAGGGACACTTGGCTGAGGGCTGTTCACGCCTCCTCACGGCCCCGGCAATCACGCAGCACTTAGTGTACCAAACACCCACGGAGGGAGGAAGAGTACAAGGGAGTAGGGGGTGAGAGAAAGAAGAGTGAGTGAAAATGAGAGAGCGCCACATTCTGCCTCTTTTTTTTATTTCCACAGCAAGATTTTCACACAGGCTTCCAACAGAGACGATGGCAAACGTCTCCTCGGCTCCGGCCAAAAAATGGGCAATAAAGTGAGAGTCATCCGACTCCCTGAGCCCTGCCGGCACAGAGTCGTCAGGAATCAGAGCAGTGATTCAGCTCTCTGCACATCCTCACTCCACAGTGTGACTGACCCAGTTCGTGTGAGACCGCCAGCTGCAGACGAGCTTGAAGGCAGCATCCGTGACCCCGATGTGACCCGTAACAGCCGCGGCTCTAAAGGGCCAATCGGCGGGGCCTGAAGCCAAGTGGGAAAATAATTGGAAAAACAACAAAACGCATTTGATTTTGGAAGTTTGCTGCCAACAAAAGACCCCATACCCCCTCCCTGTCTCTGTTCCACAAACACGAGCAGCAGCAGAGCGGCGCTGCTCCTCGTGCTGCCAGATTACTGCTGCGCCGACTGCATGCGGCTCGTGCAGCGTTCGGCATCGATCGGCTCGTTTGGTGGAGCTTCTCGCTCAGGAAGACTTCATCAGAGTTTAGATCCATTCAAAGAAAAGCACTGAACAAATATTCTTCACTATCAGTGAATTCAATCAATCCTGGTGATTCTGTGCAGTAAACGTGTTTTTAATCAAAGGCGAGCTCCATGCTGTCGCCCCGAGGAGGAAGATCCCACAAACCAAAGGAGGCCTGCTCAAAACAGACAGCAGCATACTCCACAGTTACAAAAATTAGACAACACAGGCAACAACAACACACACAAAATTCAATTAAAATGACAGCAATCTAACTGAAACAGTTGTGTGTTATGGAAACGGCCTCAAGGATCTTAGTTTGGATTTTAAAGCATTTATAATGAAATGAACTCGTTTCCCAGTCGTTCTGCAGCCAAACACACAAAAACTCTTCTACCGAGTTCAGTTTGTGCAAATAAACAGAAAGCAAGAGAAACACGAGCAGCACGTTTCACTGCGAGCAGGCAACACGTGCAGGAGGGCAGCAATCCCAGCACTGCCTTATATATAAAACTGTAAATGAGAGCTCCTCTGATTGGCCAAAGCGAGCCGTCCACCTGACGGTGTAACTCACAGGGTCAGTCAGGGCAGAAGGCATCAACCGCTCCAAGACATCGAGCAGAAGCATTCGTGTCTCCATCATCCAGAAATGTTGCAGCAACAAGTTGCTTCTTTGTATCAAAAGAAACATCAGATATGACCGAGTTCAAAGCTCAATAATAATCCGTCAGCATGCACGGATCCATGTTTGGATCAGTCACTGGTGAATGATTATTTCTGATAAATATGAATCATGTGAGGCTGAATTCATCTCAGTGTTGTGCTCTGTGACAGATTCACGTCTCTTCTGTTTACCACAGTGAAACAAACCAGTGGACAAAGATTTCCTCAGAAACTGAACTGCACGCTTTAGAAGAGCGAACCGTCCTGTGACCGAAGAGGAAGAGAGAGCCGAGGACGAAGGCTTTCTCATGCTAGTACCACTCCCACTCAGCCTGACCTCACCCTGTTGTTGCTTCCACCTCTGTGACTGAGGCCTCGGCGCAGAAAGAAAGACATCAGGATGTGATCGCGTTCATATGGAAGTCAAGTGTTTCACACTGTAATAAGAGTCCGTGCACACACAGCTCCGGTCACCTGTCACGCACACGTGCACGTGCACGGCTGGAACAGCAGCAGCCGTAGGAACGTCTTCCTCAGACGTCTCGCCGCCGCCGGCTCGTGCAGCGGAAACGTGGAATCTGTGAAGTCGCGGGACCTGCTGCGAAAATCTCGTCGGGGATGAGAAGGAAAACACGGCTGACTTCCTGTTCCTGATTAAACACCATCTGTGCAGTTCTCGAGACTTTCTGTGACTCCTCAGAAATGAATATTAATTATTCGTTTTCACTTCTCTGCTGAAAGTACGACAGGAAACGTGGCGCTGCGTCTGCATGAGGACCATCATCATGCTGTTTAAGAGAAGCACAAAGGGAAACAACTCCACACACAAACCAGCAGCACACTGGAAACTTCTCCACACAATAGAAAACACTTTGTGTGACATTTTGGAAGTGCTCTCATCCTGCCTGACAGGCCTCGCATCAAACAGCACACGAGGAGCACTGCTGAGTGTTACTGACGAGGCGCCGCGGCTACACCCATCATCAAACACACAGACTGTACACAAAAGACGGACGCTGCGACCATATTTAGGACTAAATGAGCCGCTAAGGCGAGAAGCTTCACTCAAGAACTGTGCAGATCCAACACAGACGCACATCAACTCATTTCTACGTCATACATGAATAAAATGTTCACGTTTCTCTCAGGAAACCTGAAGCACAAACTTTTAAATGCTACATTTACAAAAACACAAAGTGGCGAGAGAGAGAATAAAGTCCACACAACGAGACGACCTGCTGCGATTTCCTGCCAGGAGACACGAGCAGAGGCACTCATGCATTCAGCAGCCATGACCCTTAAAGCAGGGGTGGGGAACTCCAGGCCTCGAGGGCGGGTGTCCTGCAGGTTTTAGAGCTCACCCTGGGTCAGCACGCCTGAATCAGTTGATTTGTTCGTTCCCAGTCCTCTGAAGAACTACAGGACATGTTGAGGAGGTCATTTAACATTTAAATCAGCTGTGTTGATCGAGGACACGTCTCAAACCTGCAGGACACCGGCCCCCGAGGCTCAGTGGGGACTAACTCTCCTTTACAGTGCGCCTCTAGAGGCCACCAGAGGAACTGCAGTTTCCCTCAGTGGTTGCCATCTGAGCGAATATGAATATTTCTGAGCTTCGTGATACTGCATCAGCAAGAAACTGATATTTATTAATACTCACACACAAAGTAGCACCTTAAGCATAAAAGCTATCTGCAGGGTGTCGGGTTGCGCACCAACAAAGACCTGCGGTGCGATCTAACAGCAGCTCTGCAGGATTGCTTCATGATGGGAGGGAGCCGAGCTGCAGGCGTATCTCCTCCCAGGTTGGGTAACACGCGGGGCAGACGCAGACTCAGGGAAGCACTGCAATTATAGATGTAGCAACGATAATCATGTGACAGTCCTTAAAGAACAAAGAGCACGAGCAGGCACCAAACTCAGGTATGCACGAGGAGTTTCCTCCACAACCACAAACTATCCTCAGGCTCGAAGTTTTCTTCCACTCGCTCCTCACAAAGTAACACAACAACAAGAGCGACGTAAGCTCGTTAGCATCAGCGTGTCTGCACTCCACACATGAATAAATTGTTGCACATGGCAAT